TTATCACTTTGATTCATATGATAGCTTAGTAGATAGTAAATATGTTCAGTGGATTAAGTACTCTAAGCTGGAAGCTATCCTCATTCATAATCTGTGTGATACTATTCCATTTTCTCTGGATCTCATTGCTATTTGTCAAAACAAAACAAAACACCTATTTTCATTGTTAGTTGTCATTCATTTAAAAGTGTTTGGTGGAGTACAGGGCCATAATTTTGCCAGTAAAGTGTTTGTCTTACAAACATGATGAATTGAGTTTGATTCCCAGCACTCATGGGAAAAGCTGACATGTTACGATGTGTTCACAATTCCAGTCCTAGGATGTTGAAGACAGGCAGGTCCTGGAGGCTCTAAAGTCAGTCTAAATGGAAATCCCCAGATCTTTATAAGAAATTATGTCCCTGCAAAGCAGTATGGATGATGTGTTCAGAACAGTATTGGAGACTGACCTCTAGTGTACATACATGTGAGTGCATGAGAGTGCACACGCGCATGTACACACACACACACACACACACACACACACACACACACACCACTGTACCTGAGCACTTTTCCAATTAGATACTTAATCTCACATTCTGTATATATATACAAATAGTTTCCAACCTTCCAATTTATTTCAAAATTTTCTTTTTGAATTTTGGCTTTCTGTAACTTTGATATGTGTGTTATTTTCTATTTTTCTTCCCATGCTGTTTGAGATTTACCTGATCCTTTAGTGATGGAAGCTCTTCATTCATAACCTCTTAAAACATCGCTTCTATGAATTTCTTTCTTAGGTACTGATTACAGGCATGACAGATCCTTTTTTTTGTGACTTTTACATACTTATTATTTTATGTTTCTCTATAATCGTCCTTCAGTCTGCTGGTTTCTATAGACATGAATTCTGGCTTCTCTTCCATACTACTTCCCGTAACTTGAGTATTTAATTTTAGTTGCATTATTTTTTAATTTTCAAAATTTCTATTTCATTTGAAGAGTAGAGTCCAGTATAAACTCTTCTTCCTTCATTTCCGTTCTTCAAACTAGTGATTATAGTTACTTTCAAGCTAATCATGTCCAGACCTCTCTGGGCATTTGTTTCTATTTTCCATGTATCTGCATGCATTTGTAACAGCAACATAGGCTCACCCATTTGGTATGTTGGCGGTCAATAAAACGAGAAGGAAGTGGGAGAGGGAAGAGGGCTGGGGTGTAACTCAGTGACAGAGGCCCTTTGGTTAATCCTCAGAACAGAGACACACCACACACGAGCAAGCACTCATTTGCAAATGTGTGTGTGTGTGTGTGTGTGTGTGCATGTGCACACACACACACACACATACACACACACTTATGTAGGCACACACACACACACATGACCGCACCCACATGCATGCTCTCTCTCATACACACACACACTAGTTGTAGCAAGTTAGAAGAGAACAGAGCAGTAGAGAACCTTCTAAAGCAGCATCTCTCCAAACAAATCAAAAAATGGATTTTGCTGGAAAGATGTATGCACATTAATACTGGAGAGACTAGTCATCACATGTAGTTACAGGCTTGTTCATGCACAGACACAGTTTACAATCATGTCTCGTAATACATTACATGTTTTAAAAAGTTAGTCAGGAATGTCTCCAGGCCGGAGAGTTAATATTAGAATTAGATTTCAGTGAACAAAGAGTACTCGCTTAGCAGATGTATGTCACAGCCTAAACTAGTTTAAAAATATTTTCTGTGGTTTTCTTTAGAACATCCTTTCTGAGACAAACAAAGAAACAAAACAAACTAAACCAAAACAAAGAGCTGGTTGGAAGGTATGTTAGCAGTTATCACAGATTACAGTAGCTCATTTCTATACAAGCCCAGTGCTTGTCCTAAAGTTCCTGTACAACAGCTAGCTGTCTGGATAACTTTACAGAAGACCAGAATTGACTAAACTACATGATCTCAGCATTCAGAGAGCAGATTTTTCATGGTGGGCAAGTGTAGTTGTGGGGATAGTGCCAAGTCTTTCCAGCGATCACATAATTATTTAACTTGTCCAGTAAATTTGAGATTTACAGATATGCTAATACAACACTTGTAGTTCATGTCTTCTCCGAGTGTAGCACTTTCAGAGTTTCATATGATAAGAAGGGGCTAATCCCTCTCATATTGTCCTTAAGTTGGTGTCTTTTCTACCTAGTGTCTATGCTTCCTTTTTGCTCTAGTCATTCGTGCTATGTTGAGAGTCAGAACTTCCTTGAGAAGAGAAGCATGTTTGGAAATCAGAGACCTGTTTATGTCTCACATTGCAGGTTTTGTTTTTTAAGTTCTTAGTGCCTCAATAACTTGTGAAAGACTGTCTGTCTCTAGATTCCTCCACCCCCTTAATGTACAGATTCTATGAATACCAAAAGAATGGAAATACTTCTATCATGAGTTGTTTTAATGCCAAACATTTTTACTCATGTACAGAGAAGGTGCATTACTGCTGAAATTCAAGACTTTCCTGATGTGAAGTTTCTTTCTTCAAACTACTAAGTCAGAGCACTTGAACTAGGAATGCATTGCCAGAAGCTGGCTCAAACTATTAACATCCCAGCACTGTAAAGGGGACCAGAAACCACCAGAAATGATCAAATTACATCTACCTAGGGCCTTTAAAGTAACAAGAACTCAAGGTTAGTGTCAACTTGGTGCCTCATAACGTTTCTTAAAATACAAATATGTCTAAATATAGCTTAAAATGCAGGTGTGTCTAAGATGTTGGTTAAGAACAAATTTCATAACTCATAGGCTTATAGACTATTATGTGATTTACAAGGTAATGGTTGTATTAAAATTTACCTTAAAGCCCACTCCAGGAGATGAACCCCATATCTGATACTGCTTAGATGTTCAAGAACCTGAGATTAGATAGCCCAGAGAACTATTGTAAAATCAAATACTACTGGTCTAAAAAAGAATAAAAATGTGATAAAATGACCCGTAATGATATTCCACTATACATATCAACCAGTGCCTTGCTCAGCCATCAGCAGAGAAGCTTCCTCTTGCAGCAGATGGGAATAAATACAGAGACCCATAGCCACACAATATATAGACAGTGAGAGACCTTGGACCACTCAGCATTAAATGGGATGCCTCCCACTCCCTCCCCCACAAAGCTCAGGGAACCTCATGGAAGAGGAGGTGGAAATAGTGTAAGAGCCAGAGGGCATGTGGTACACCAAAAAAACAAGGCCCTCTAAATCAACATGAGCAAAGCTCATATACACTCTAATACTGGGCCAGCATGCATAGGGCCAACACAGGTCTGCATCATGTCCTCTGTGCTTATAGTCTGGCTTCCAGTTTAGTATTTTCAGGGGATTCCTGAGTGTGCAAACAAATGAGTTACTGACTTTTATGCCTTCTCTTGGTCTTTTCCTCCTATTGGTTTGTCTTGCCCAACTACGATATGATAGTTATGATTTTCTTATTATATTTTATTTTGTTATAATTTTAAAAAGTGAATGAATGAATGAATGAATGAATGCCTAGCCATGAGAGTAAAGATTAACAACTGAACTGTCACCTATACCTGCTGAGAGAGAAAAATAGTTTTTGCCAATAGAGTGATACTGGGTTTATCAACCACTCCAAGACAGACCTCATGTTCAGTAGTTGACCAACATATAATGGACTCCACAGGTTTTGTTGATCCTGTGTGTTTGCTTTTGATGGCTACAATTTGATGTTTCATTTTGTTTGTTTATTAGTTTTCTCTTTTATTTTTGGGTTTAGTTTTATTTTATTTTCTTGGTTTGGAGGAGTTTTGTTGGTGGTTAGGTATTGTTTTTTTAAGAAATAACTTAAATTGGATGGGTAAGGAGGCAGATAATATCTGAAAGGACTTGGGGGAGGGGATGAATATGGTCAAAATATATTTAAATTTAAAAATATTTTTAAATAACAAAATAATAAAAACTATATAATTTAAATAAAAATAAAATAATTCAAACTTAAAATAGTAATTTATAATATTGACATGAACTACATATATTAGCATGGTTCAAAGAATTTACTTTTCTTTCAAAACAGTATAATATCTTTATGACTGTGTGTATAAATTTGTTTATTCATTTGTTTATTTTGAGATTCTGTTGAAATGTAAAGAGTGAATCTGGGACTGAATGGCTCAGTGTGTAAAGCTGCTTATGATGCAGGCCTGTGATGAGTTCAGTTTTAGAACCCATGTGGAAGGAGATAATCAGTTCTGCGAAGCTGTCCTCCCATCTCCACACACACTATGGTACTTTCCCTCCCATTCTTTCTTTCTAACGCTTTCTCTTTCTTCTTTCTCTATGTCTCAAACACACAACAACGACAACAATAAATCAACAGATAAAAAAGTAACTGTGTATAAATGCATTCTTTATTCATTGCTAGAACATATTTAAATTTAAAGTTTTCATTTTCTTAATCTATGGCATGATTAGAGTATCTATTTTGGTCACTGTTGTATATTAATAAAAATATCAATACATGAACTAGTCACCAAAGTTAAAAGAGAAGGAGTCCTGGATCACCTGTGTAGAAAATATTGCACAGACACAGACACACACACACACACACACACACACACACACACAGAGAGAGAGAGAGAGAGAGAGAGTTCACCCTTAAGATAATACATGGTTCATTTCCGATTTCTGTTTTTGACAATATCACCTTTATCTCATATTCTCTATAAAGTTTGATAAGAAATACTTAAAGTAATCAATAAACTCTAATAAACATTTCTTGGCAGTTGGCCTTCCTGCCATTTTTTTTTTCATGTTGGACTGTTCATCCTTAAATGCTTGGTGTTTTTTGTACTAGTGTGCTTGAGGTTTTGTGGTCTGATGACACCGTCAGGAACACAGAACCCTTTAGCTTCCTTTTGCTCAGTGGTCAGTCTAGGGCCCTCGTGCACACAGAGAGTGGATGTGTCAAGACAGCAATGCTGCTGGCAAATCTCTCTGGACCGTAGACCTGTGGCCCGACACAACAACTCATACTGGAAGTCTGGCTTTTAAGGTAAGTGTTGAAGCATTGGGGTAAAGATTTCTGCAATAACCTTGATAAAAATAGGCCTCCTGTTGTTGTCTGGTTCTAATTTGGAATCTTCAGAACCAAAAGCTATGAAAAGAAAGAGCCTCATTTTTTACCACAAACCTATGTTATAAAAAGAGTTGCCTTCTCCTTCCTGTATGTGTCACATGCTTCTGAAGATGAGGCCTTAGTTTGTGTTAGGCATTAAATTTGACACACTTATTTCAGAATTTGTCCCAAAAGAAAAACAGAAATGAATCCTGGTTACAGAACCATAGAGGACTTGGTGTTAGATTTATAGCCAGTTATTCAGAGACTTGTCTTTAACATGATGTGGTTTTTAGTATCAAATCCCTTTAATGCTATTATTGACAATATCATTCTATTTCATTCGGAAACATTCTGATAACTCTAATCAATACCAAAAATTATGATAGCAACCACATGCTGAGAAATTTCTAAAAAACAATTGCTCAAAATAATCTCTATGTTGTTTTACTTTTGAATTTCTGGGAGTAAAATTCCCAGGGTCGCTTAGATAAGGCAAGTGCTTGGTCACTGAATTGAACCCTCAGCATACTGCACTCGTTGTCATTCCACTTTTAAGTTATGTAACAGAAACACTCCAAAATTAATTCTTAAACTCATAAATACAATGTAAGAACACATGTACAAATAACTTTATTTTCTTAAAAAAAAAAGGCCTTTCATACCATTATCTCATATCTACAACTAATGGCATGCTTCCAATACATGGGATGAAATAAGATACAGCTTAAAATAAGTCACTCTCTGACTCTAAGGAGCTAGCTCAACCCTCTTTGTAAACGTGTTCTTGCAAGTCACTAAATTTACTGCACTTTAGTTTCCTCACAGCTGCAGAATATAATTGAGAAATTACTTCTTCAGTTTTACAACTCCTTATCCTGTTTTCTAATTAGTTCCTAAGTCAGTACTTTAGTCAATAGGCAGAACAGGAAGAGCAGCAGGTGATCAATCAGGGGATGATAATTCTGTTTGTCAAAATCCTGTTTGGTTGGAGAAATATTATCTAAACCTTCTAGGACAGAAGTTTGACAAACTTTGGTTGTTTGTTTGTTTGTTTGTAATAAAGGGTACATGGTAATTATTCTAGGCTCTGAAGGCTGAGGTAAAGTTGAAGGCAACATGTAAGTATTCATGTGTACATTTAAAATGCAACATTAAAAAACATAGCAATTGTTCTTAGTTCACACAGCAAATCTAAAAGCCAGAAGAGAGGAGGATGGAGCTTGGGGAACATTGTCCTCAGGACCCTCATTCTCGACTGTCATTTTTCACAGTTATAAAGTAAGAGGTCACCAGAATTGTTAATTTTAGCACTGGATTATCTATAGGGTGATCTACCAACCACCTAAATTTGTCTACAAAATTTTGAGGGGATGCAAAAATGTGTTTTAATGGGGAGTAAAGGCATACAGACCTCATCAATTACCACAGTGGCCTAAATTCCAGCTCACGTGAAGAAAATCAGATTTATTCATGAAAATGTCTTCCAATGTAAGAGTAAGCCAGCCCTGCAAAGTTTTTAGTACCAAGTGTTAGCACTATAAGAACATTGTGTGCTGTCACTGCAATAACAGGTCCAGATATGTTAAAAATGTTACAGTCTGTTCAAATTAATGATGTCCTTCAAGGAGACTTGAGAAAAATCCTAAAACTGCTCACGTGTTTCTTTTTTATTGTAAATGTACTTCATTTTGTAGTCAATAATAAAAAATTTATGTTGCTTATTTTTTCAAATAGTAAGTGGGATCTTAGAAAAATTTGTTCACTTTGATATATTCTTACACAACTTTGGAATCTACAAAACTCTGACTAAGGAAACAGAAGTAATTGCGTAACTGAGACCAGAGGTGTCAAAGTGCTGAAATAATGCCACATGTCCCACACCTCACTGAATACACCTTCACAGTCCCCTTGATTGTCAGCATTAGGAACGATGGAGGATTATATACCAAATGTATTTGGAAAAGCGTTCTGTGTTGCTTTATTTAAATGAAACAGTATGCAAAATTGTTGCAAAACACTAGACAATATTTGAAATCATGAAACCTTTGCTTCTGAATAGTGTTTTGGATTCTGCTTGCTAACATTCTTTATTACCAGTTGTTCAGGTGGTATGTTTTCTTTTACAGCCTTATAGTAATTCTTAGTTAATTCTACCATCTCTTGGCCCTGACTCCCTCTGTTTATAATGTTCTCTGTAGTTCTGAGGTGTCAAATCTTCCACCCAACTCTACTTAACCAAACATAACAGCATCTTTTGTTTCAGTTCATTTTGGCTTAAAATTAATAGTGCAATAGGGTAGTGACATTTGTTTAATTAATGAGTTAATACCTGGGTAGATTGTTTCATTGAGCCAGATTTGAAGTTGTCCTGGTTCATGTTCTTAGGCCACCATCATATTGTAACTAGTCAGTTTGAAGCCATTAACATTCAGTCTTTTTTACACCCAGAGTGGGAGCCACAGTCAAGGCTCTACCACTCTCTATCTGGGAAAGTATCAAGAATTCTGCCTCATGTTGATATCAGCAGCAGAACGCCAACAACCAATGCCATGGTGACTGCATACCAGCAAACAGCCGTGTCAGAATCCCTGTTTCTTTTAGCATTTCTGATATTTTGGTTTGGAACATTGGATCAATAGCTTCTACACTGATACCTGTATCTGACTGTGACATAACCAAATACATCAGTCACTCTGATGGTATACTTATCAACAAATTTTCTAAGAGTTAGACTTATAACTTCTATTGGAACCCTAGCATGGCCATGTTTTGATGTCTTCAGCAACATCAAGGAGGAGCTACAAACTTGTTCTGCTGTGGCCATGGCAGGAAACTCTGTGGATGACCCTGGCCCAGGGCAGGCACACGTTCTCCACATCCAAGGACTCTCTCCATATTTCTACTTAGCAACTATAATCCTTATATTATTAAGCTTTGATTTGTTGAATTTGATACTTTTAAAATTAACTCAGACTCTTTCTAATTCTGGCAGCTGTACCTTTTTTCTATGTTCCCCTCTTCTTCTCCCAGCTTTTCAACAACATAGCTTCCAGGGCAGCATCTCTCATTTGCTGAAGATTTGTCGCAGAGAATATTCCAATGAGTTAGCTTGACTCTATCCAAAGGAGCCACGCTATCTGAAAGGATTACTAAAATACTACATTTTAAAACATCTGAAAAGTTAGTTCATACGTTATGCTAAATTGTCTTCCTAATTTTCCCGTTTGATTTTATTTTGGATGCTAATGTTATTATTGATAATAACCACAATCAAGCTTTAGGTGATCAAAGTCTCTTTAATATAACAGCTTGTTTAACAGCAGTAGACATAATATATCGTTGTGTTCTAGAACAGTATCTGGTGCTTAATAAGTAAGCAGTATCCTGGAAATAGTTAAGTGAGTGAGCAAGAAGATAAAGACACCGTGGCAAAGACCATGTTAGAGGAACACTGAAGGTCGGGAACTCCAGCACTCAAAAAGAACTAGCGGCAGACTCCCAAGGCTGCTTCTCTTTTCGGATTTAAATGTAACTGTGATTTTGAAACATGTGGTTGCCTAAAGATCACAGTTCCTGCAGATTATGGAGACTTTTTAAAAATGAGTGACATTTGTTGTGCTTGACTCACACAGGAGAGAGAAATAGTTCTTGGGAAGCTGCTGGAACCCAATTTCTGGGCTGGGCTGGGGAGTGAAGGCTTTTTCTTATTGATTAATTAACTAAATATTTTTTTCTGATTTATTTTTGGATTCACTTTATATCCTTCACAACCCCCTCATTACCCTCTCCTTTTTCCTCAGAGAAGGGGAAGCCACCCATGCATGAAAACCCACACTGGTACATTAGCATGCATCAGGACTAAGCACATCCCTTCCCACTGAGGTCAGATAAGGGAGCCCAGCTAGGGGGTGGACATCCAAAGGCAGGCAACAGAGTCAGAGACAGCCCCTTCTCCAATTGTTAGGACACCCACATAAGATCAAGCTGTGTATTTGCCCCAAATGTGTAGGGTGCCTAGGTCCAGCTCATGCATGTTCTTTGGTTGGTTTAGTTTCTGTGATCCTCCATGGTTCTAAGTTAGCTGACTCTGTAGGTATTCTAGTGTACTTGACCACTTTAACTTTTTTCAGTCTGTCCTCCCACTCTTCCACAAGGCTCCCTAAGCTCTACCTGATGTTTGACTTTGGGTCTCTGCATCTGATTCCATTAGCTGCTGGATGAAGCCTCACAGATGACAGTTATGCTAGGATCCTGTATACAAGCACAGCAGAGTATCATTGACAGTGACAGGGGTTGGTTCTCTTTCATAGGATGGGTGTCAAGTAGGCCCAGTCATTGGTTGTCCATTTCCTCAGTCTCTGCTTCATTTTATCCCTTTATACAAGTTTGCACTCCCATCTGCAAAGGAGGAATGTTTCCTATCTCCACATCCTCCCCTGCCTGTGCTGTCCATTGTTTTCTGTTTTTTTTTTTCCCATTCTAATATGTATAAGGTGGAATCTGAGTTATTTTGATTTGGATTTCCCTGAAGACTAAGGAGGTTGAACATTTCTTTAAGTACTTCTCAGCCATTAATGAATCCTCTGCTGGGAATTTTCTGTTTAGCTCTGTACCTCATTTGTTAATTGGGTTAGGTGGTTTGCTGGTGTCTAACTTCTTGAGTTAGTTATATATTTTGGATATTATCTGTTAGATGGAGGGTTGGTGAAGATCTTTTCCCAATTTGTGTATAGTCACTTTGTCCAATTGACAGTGCTCTTGGCCTTACAGAAGCTTTTTAATTTCATGAGGTCCTATTTATTAATTGTTGATCGTAGAGCCTGAGCTATTAGTGCTCTGTTCAATAAGCTGTCTCCTATGTCATGAGTTCAAGGCAGCTCCCCATTGTTAGATTTACTGTGTTTAGTTTTGTCTTGAGGTCTTTGATCTACTTG